GGGGGGGGGGGGGGGGGGGGGGGCAGGCAATGCTCTTCTGTTGGTAACCATATCGTGGATGGTGGAGTATACGTGGATGTCTTCTGTTTGTGATTGGCAGAGATGGGGCAGTATTGCCGGAAATTTGTCTGTTCTGAGAACTTCTGACGTGTATTGCATGCGTGATGTTTTGGGATGTTACAAGAGAGTGCGTTACGATGTTTGATTTGTGGGAGATAGGGGGCCACTGCTTGGAGGTTGGGGGACCAGGGAGGATGGTCGATTAGCAAAGGAGGCTGGTCGCTGAATGGCTGACCTCAACATCATGGACCATTTCTTGAATTATGCATGTCACCCTTGTACAGGGGCCTTGCTATATTTCTGTATCACCCCAGCTTTAACGGATGTCTTGAAGGACAGCCTCGTTGTGGTGTAGTGGTTTTGAAGTTTGAAGTTTGAGCTCGTCTCAACTCAGATTCTTCTGGGTAGAATCCCATAACTTTCTAAACGTAAAGGACACATTTTGTTATTGTTTATGTTTCGGTTGACAGGCGCGGATTGACTCGCATAACAGGATCTTATACGCTCGACATGCGGATCAGCGTAATGCGACATTTGAAAGAGCGCTGCAGATGGGTGCTGATTACCAGAGGGATACCCAAGCAATGCTGCTGAGAGCGAGTTTGATGCGAAACGAGGTGACGATCAGAGGCCGAAGACCTGCTTAGAGGGACAGAGAGAGGTAGGAAAAAGGAGCAAGCTATGCTTCCTGCATACATGTACATGAGCATTTCGTGCATTCCCCTTTGCGTAGTGCATCAGGACTCTCTCGCTTAACACCCACCCTACCCCTGCTCTCCCCCCCCCCCGCCGCCTCCTCTCTCTCTCTGTGTTTCTCTGCCTGCTTCAAGTCACAGCATGTTGCGGTGTACATGAGGCCTTGACTGTATGCATGTATCATCTTGCTAGGTCATTGTACAGAGAAGTGGAGGACGTGCATTGCCGTGAAGTATGTCGGTGTATGTCGTTGCCTGCTCCTCTCAACACGATCGGCGTAATCAGTGTATGCTTGTTCTGAAGGGGGAGCTGCATACTTTGTAGCACAGCAGCTGCAGTCCTGTGGGGGCTTGTCACAGACTGTCAACAACCGAATTGCACAGCGCGTGCCAGGCTGTCCGTCCGTCCGTCATCACAGGTTGTTGGATTGCAAACCTCGACAAATTCAAAGATCGATGAAGGCATCCTGTCTTTGCTCGAGATCGTCTGTGACTAGCGCTTCGGATAAGCCTGTCTTTGCTCGAGATCGTCTGTGACTAGCGCTTCGGATAAGCCTTCTTTCGGTCTCACGTTGCTTTGATAGCTACGTGGCCAGGTGCAGACCACCAGTGGGTAAGTGTTCTGGCTCTTCTTCTTCTTCCCCTTCAACAGTCTTCTTCAGCTTCAGCTTTATCTTCTCTCTCCCCCTCCTTTTTCCTCATTGGAGTGGTTGTCGTCGTCCTCTCTTATGCTATCTGTTGTCCCGATCCTGCTCGCAGTTCGTTCGGGCAACCATGTACTCTGCTGCAGTGGTCACTTCTCTTTTCTTCTTTTCTTTTCTTATCTCCTTTTTCATAATCTTTTGAGTGCAGCACAGATGGGAGACGAGTTTTGTTGCTGTTCCCATTGCTTGAGGAAACTGCTCTTTGTCTGTCAATTTTATGTTCTGATCGATTTTTTTCGCAGTCTCCATTTTACAGAGATCGCAGTAGCGATGCATCGAGGAAAGTAGCATTCACTAGCCTAGCCCTTTCCGTGAATTCCAGTCCAGACCCGTTCTCAAATCAGAGTAAGTGGTATTGCTTGTAGTCACAGGGCGCCACAGCCGTGTGTTGTGGGGTGGAGGTGCAGGGCGGAGGGAGGAGGGGGGAGGGGGGAGGGGGTGTATTTGCCATTTGGTCTCTTCTGGAACTTTTTGGAGCGCTTACATCCAGCTGTGGTATTGTGTGCGCGACTGTGCGGTCATACTTGTCCTTGGGTCATGTTGTCTCCGTGCACATCCCTCAACGCATCATGATTGTGTTGAAAGCAAGGAAGAATTTTCTTTTTAGGGTCTTTTTAGGGTCTTTTTAGGGTCTGTGTGTGTGTGTGTGTGTGTGTGTGTGTGTGTGTGTGTGTGTGTATTGTGTGCGCCTCCTCGGGTTATGTTGTCTCCATGCACATCCCGCAACGCATCACGATTGTGTTGAAAGCAGGGAAGAAATATCTTTTTAGGGTCTTTTTAGGGTCTGTATGTGTGTGTGTGGTGTGGGCGATTGTGCGGTCATACTTTTCCTCGGGTCATGTTGTCTCTGTGCACATCCCTCAATGCATCACGACTGTGTTGAAAGCAGGGAAGAAATTTCTTTTTAGGGTCCTTTTAGGGTCTGTATGTGTGTGTGTGTGTGTGTGTGTGTGTGTGTGTGTGTGTATTGTGTGCGCGACTGTGCGGTCATACTTTTCCTCGGGTCATGTTGTCTCCGTGCACATCCCTCGATGCATCACG